AAAATGTAATAATCTGTGAAAAGTGTATGAAATTCAAATTTTAGCATTCATTGGTAAAGTTTATTGGAACATAATAATATTTATTTATTTGCATATTGCCTTTCATATGCACTAGCAGTGCTGAGTAGTTGCGATAGATAATATATGGATCCAGAATTCTAAACATGTTGGCCTCTAAACCTTTAGAACTTATATGATCAAGAGCTTTATCTAACACAATTAAACAAGCACAATCCCACTCAAAAAATGGAATTTAAGTTTAGTTAACTATTCACCCCCATTATGGAAAATAAATATTCTTCAAGGGTTTTAAAATATTCTTCTAGGATTTTGGATTTACTACCCAAATATTTAACAAAAGCTGCTAGTCTCTGCTCTAGAGGCCATCGATTACGACCATTTTCACTAAGGACTATGTTATAACTTTTTTATAACAGATAAAATAAATATGATTTGAAGTTGAAACTTAAAAACTGTATACTTAAAGATGCAAATATATGTAATCTTTGTGATTAGCATGGTGAGCTAAATTTCCTTTCTTTCTGAAAGTCAGTTCTACTCTTTCAGATATTTAATATAGGAGGAAGCACTAAAATAGAGTGCAAGTTCTGTTTATGTTATGAAGGAAATGAGAAACATTTTGTTGAATAATGTAAATTAGCAAGTTTGGATTTTTTTCATTAACAAGTGGACATTATATATAGGTTGTAAAACCTCATGTTTTATATTTGCATTACCTCATAGAGTAGTTAGAATATTTTCTTAACATATATATTACTTCACATACTGTATTTTATGTGTGTATGTAGTGAAAAGACATAATTCTATTTTCTTAGCACTTTTCAGACATACGATCACTTGCTATTTACTGTAGTTAGCATGATGTCTTACAGATTTCTTGAACATATTCTTTCCACCTAACTGTATTTTTGTGGGTTTTTTTTTTTTATCAAAATCTCTCCAACTTTAGTCAGCCTCTGGCAAGGAGTGTTTTATTTTCTTTTCTCGTGAACTTGGTTTTTATGACAGTATTGACCTAAGTTTCTGAAACACATTTTTCCATAAAATGAATCTCACCGTTCAATAGTCATGAACATGTTGTCTAGTAATTTTAAAATATTTTAATCAATAAATATCTGTCGGAATAGATATATACACAAATGTGTATTTCCTCCTTTAAAAAATTTGTATTGGGGATAAAACTCTGGCTGTTGAAGACCTCAACTCTTATCATTTTTAGTTTGGGGTAATTCTCACTAATTCACTACATTTCCCAAACTGGGCTTCAGCTGACAGTCTTCCTGCCTCAGCCTCCGAGAATCTGGAATTATAGGTGTGAAATACCATACCTGGTGACATGTGAATTTTCTTTCTGCACCTGCATACAGAAACGTTCTCATAAAAATACTATAAGAATAATCAGACTAAAACAGCCACAGTGCTGCTCTTGAAGTCTTCTGGGCCTCCTGCACTGTGCACCTGGGAATGACCTCTGCCTCTATTTCTTTATCCTAAAATATGCAGGAAAAAAAAACTCATGACAAAATTTCCTTAAAAGCCACAGCTGCTTTCCAGGCTGGGAAAGCAAAGCAACAGTCATCCTGAATATTCCCCTCCGTAAAAATAATCATTTATGTCCTAAAGCAGAGTGAAAAAACCATAGTCTCAAATATTTTTTCACTTTTTAGCACCTTTATTAATACAAATAACCTGAAAAAAATACTGTTAGGCAAGTTTTTGTTGGCATTTGAAGAGAGTTTTTGTGCGAAGAAAAAAGCAAAGAACTTTGGGATTGTCCACTTTCTTACAAACATGTGAGCTTCTAGTGATTAGTAATGACAGCAAGACAAGAATTGCAAGCTTCTATTCTCTTAAAGGAAAAATAATTCATAATTTTCAAAGTAGCATAACAGTAAACTATCAAATGAGTAATATCAGAAATTCTTAGAAAAGCATGAGGATATTATAGTAACCAGTGTGTAAGTTATTACAAAATATAATTTGGAATTCACAAACATTTTGTTGGAAATTTAAGAAACAGGAAAAAAGTACATATTTTCAAAAGATAAGGTGTTATTGCAATTTTCCTGCATTAGTTTTATTTTTGTAGAATCTTTCATTCAGTATTGTGCTTATGGATTAATGTGGAGTCTGGAAGTTTCCTCTGCTGGATTTGATTTTCTGCTATTCATTAATAGCAAAATGTCAGTTGTAAAAGTATTAAATCATGAGCTACTAATAATTTTAAAGCTTGACTTGTCAAAATCTTTTCGTGGGTCTGGAAGGTTTGGAACAGTTGTTCTTGGGTGACATTGTTTTGATTTTACCACGATCTCTGAATGGCAGATGTACTGCTGATTGGCTCTGCATTTCATGGTTGATTTTTTCAGCCAATTCTTCTTGGCTATTGTTGGATACAATATTTTCAAGAAGAAATTAACATGCTAGGCTTGAGACTGCTGTTCATAGAAAAGACTGCTTTTAAGGTCAACATGTGTCAAGCATTCAGGAACTTAATGGCAAACATTCTTTTAACTGACATAAATTTTCTAAACAATAAGAGAAAGTCATGGCGTCTAAACTGTGTAAACTCTATAGGTTTTATTGATTATCTGCCTTTATTTGGACAGCCTGAAAACCTTGAATGTACTCAACTAAAGTGCCTACTACACAGGATTAAAAAAAAAATATCTTGAATTTCTAGTCTCAGTCAATATTATTCCTACTAAACATTTTGCACTCTTTGTTCCAAATCATTGCCTTAACTAAACTGAGTACTTTCAATGAACTGCCTGTCTTCTGTCTGACACTCACAGAGGATCCTTAGAAACTTGCTCCTAGATTTCTCTGGAAACCATACAGCTGGTCTCTTGGCTGATTTCACTTTGTCTCCCTTTGCTGTAGTAAATCACAGACAAAATATAACTACATGCTGAGTCTCGCCTAGCGACTCACGAGGCCCTGCAGCTCTTTGATACCTAACTCAGTTCAACTTGGCTTAGAGCCAGATGCACACAAATCGGATGAGTCTAGTTACTCTATAATTTTAGACTAGCATTGACACTGAATTCTTAATTTTAAAAACTCCGATTAATTTCTCCAAGTTCTGCGTGGAGAAAAAATAAAAGAAAATATATTAAATATTGTGGAAATAGAAAGTGGATCTTTAAAGATTTAACTACAATTGTTGTGTCACTAAAATCAAGTGCATTTTTCCAGAAACAAAAAATAGTTCTTATATTAGTGTAGCAGTGTTTAGTTCATAGAAAATGCAGGCTGCCAAAACTGCAAAACATACTGATTTTCACTTGCATTTCATCTATTTCATTATAAATTATATGCAATTAATATTCTGTTGATTTTACTTACTTGTTAAAGTATGAATAATCCAACTTCCTTTTTGAGTTGGCATGAATAGCTTAAAAATGAGCACTGCTATGCATGGGTATTTTTCCTGTATGCCACAAGGTAATTTGCTCCTATAAATTTCTGTTTGTGTACTTTGGTAGCCCTGGGAAATTTCAAATGGACAAAGATTGCTTTTCGTGCAGTATAGAAAGACTTGTAGAGCAGAAGAACCTCAACACATCAAAAGAAAATTTTCTAAGGGCACACAAAAAAGCCTAACCCCAGAACTGTGACTTAAACACTACACTTATTCTTATATTCTGGATACAAGAAGGAGAAGATGTATGTATAAGAATATTCATTGCAATATAGTTTGAAGCAAGAACCATGCATATCTTCCTCCATTTAAAAATGATATTCTGATATAACTTCAGTTTAAAGGAGTAAAATTCAGTTCTATGTGCTAATATTAGGTAATCTTAAAGCTCTTAGGTGAAGCAAACATCAATTACATAGACAAGTACTTGCGAAAAACAGAAAAAAAATCCAGCTACCTATGAATTTATCATTATATGTTTTCTTTACACCTACTTAAATACAAATGTTATTGGAAAATTTCAGAGGAGATAAAAAAGAAATTAATAGTTTCTCTCATAGGAGACTGAGTGCCGAAAGTACGAAGAAGAATCACTGTGATCTAATCTATCTATCTAACCTTTGAAGTCTATATTTCTAGCATGTGTACTTTATACACATTTCTTTCTTAACATTTTAATATTTTAAAATTCTCATTTAATTTTTAGCTTCTCTTTGATTAGTACATGGATTTTATAATCATCTTTGAGAGTGAATACGAATGCATAATACAACTTGCTTCCTTTTGATGGAATTTCCTTTACCATACTTCCCCTTGCCTTCCTCCTCTAATTCCCCTTTCCCTATTTTCATTCTTACTTAATCTTAGTGAATGCATTTAGATATATTGAATATTCTTAAAATGACTCAGTGCTTTAAAATTAGAAATATTTTTCTGATAATTTAAATGAGTTAAAATATTAGCAGTGCAATATGTAAATCTGTTTAAATGATTATTTTCAGAACACTATATGTAAATTTCACCTCTTATAAAATGTAAGTTTAAATAGAATTTGTGTTTTACATGAACACTTCTGTGTTTGTGCACATTAATATTAGTCTAACTAATCCAGGCAGTGTATTAGCTGCTGGTTAAATAAAAGCCATGGGATTTTTGTTTAAATATTTCAAGCTTAATATTAAGCTTCATTGTTTCTCTATACCTATTTATTGTGTGTGTGTGTGTGTGTGTGTGTGTGTGTGTGTGTGTGTGTGTTTTGTACAGGGAATCAAACTCAGAACCATATGCTCGCTGGCTGTATCCCGGCTTTATACCTATTTAATAATACAATGATAATGAACTTGTACTACTTGGATAGTTTATTCTAATCCTATGTCAATAATATTGTCATGGTTTATGTCTGTGTCCCCCAGGCCTCATGAGTTTGCATTGTGCATTTGTGATTGTTTCTTTGTCTAGTGCTTGGATTGATGTCAGTGCTCCACCCACATAGGGGTGGGGCCAGGATATGATGTAATGCCAGGAAGAAGGAGTCTCTCCCTCTTTGCTGGTTCCTGTTTGCTGTTTTGCAGCCACCATGAACTGCAGCCCAGCCATGCCCTCCTGCCTTGGAGCCGACTGAGTGTGGACTGAAACCTCCAAAAACTGTAAGAAATAAACCTTTCCTTTCCCAACTTTGGGCTTCAGGTATTTTATCTCAGCGATGAGTAAAAAGTAATTAAGACAAATATGATATACATACTTGAGAAAGTAGAAATAGTCCACGAAGATAAAATTCATTATAAATTTCATCACTTTGGAAAGAGACAAAACAAATTACAAATCTTAGTGTATTTCTATAAATTCAAAGTTTATCTCATTTTTATTCTTCTTGACATGGTGAATTTTTCTATGCCTAACTTCTGATTGTCTTTTCATTTTGAAGTCCATTTTTCATGAATAAATGCTGCAGATATCTTCAGAAAATCTTTGCATAATGAAAGTCAATTTGAGTGTTTTCACAAACAGAAAGTGTATTGGGGAATTTAGATCAAGACAGTGCAGAAGCCAGCATTACTTTTCATTGTATTTCATTTGTTAATCACTAAAGAAGTCCAAATGTTTACAAACTGCTTGTAGTTTTACTTAACAAGAGAAAAACACCAAGAACCAATGACAATTCTTAAATTAGTGATGTGTCTTATGAAAACAATGCACTTATTCTCACATTTTGAATGAATGTCAAATTGATATAAAGAATATGGAACAGATTGCGTTGAGGGTTGCATTTGAGGAAATGCTTTATCACCAATAAGGAATTTTGAAATGCAATTGGGACCAAAAGAATACATCACACTGATATAAAGCTCTTAAAACAATACATTTTCCTAAATAAGAGAACATTAAAATTAAATTAAGAAAAGACTATTTCACCTTGTTATGGTTCATGTTGGTGGCTCCAGGCCTCATTCATTTGCGTTGTGCATTTGTGATTGGTTCATTGTCTAGTGCTTGGATTGATGGTGTGAGTGCTACACCCGCCTAGGGGTGGAGCCAGCATACACTATAATGGCTGGAAGAAGGCGTGTCCCTCTCTCTTGCTGATTTTTTGGATTTTCATCTCACTGTTTGCAGCCACCATGAACTGCGCCCCACCATGCCACCCTGCCTCGGAGCCAACTGAGTGTGGACTGAAACCTCCAAAAACTGTAAGAAATAAACCTTTCCTTTCCCAACTTTGGGTGTTTTGTCTCAGCAATGAGTAAGAAGTAACTAAAACACACCTTTTCCAATAGCAACTTCATTCTTGAATATTTCTCCAGTGTTCTATTGAAGGGTGGCAGGGAAAAAAGGAAAATTATAAGCTGCTTTCAAACAGAAAGTGAGTGGTACCTAAACTTTGCTGATTGAAAGACACAGACAAACAGACTTTCTGCAGTCAAAGGAGGAGTTTATTCTCGACCTTCCAGCTCAGCATGAGATGCCAATACCTGGGCTCTAAACAAGCTGGCTCGATCACTTTTCTGATTCAATCAGACATGCAAAGAGAAGAACACAGGAAAGGACCTCATTTTCCTTTTCCTTCTTGCTGCAAATATCTCTCGTATGCCTCTAGACTACAAGAAACTAAAAAGGTTATCTGCCAGGGTTCCACTTTTACTTTTCCTGTGAATAGTCCCAGACAGTCATTCCAAGGAGAACAATCCTCTCATATAAAAAATTGTTTTATTTTTCCATCTGATAAAGTGTCTTCTATGGTTTCTATATGCAGTATACAAAGATATTTCCTTAAGTTCATCTAAAGCTTTGCCAACACCATGCCAATTTTTGCATTCAAATTTCAGAGGCCTAAAATGAATACACTTTGGTGATCTTTCAGTGTAAAATAATTCATGAACGATCTGATGATGGGAATGAAGTCAGCACAATATTTCCAGTCACATTTTAGTTTGATTATATGACTAGAATGTAAGTGAGCAGGCTGTTTATGTTAGTGTACCCTGGAGGCACCATAAACAAACATCACCACGTGGGCGGCCTACATAACAAGCTTATTAATCTGTAGTTCTGGAGGCCACCAGAGCAAAATCAAGGTGTGAAGAGGTTGTATTCCTTCTGAGGACCGTGAGGAAGAATGTGTGCTGCACATCTCTTCCACTTCTTGATCATTCCAGAAATTCCTTAGCTTGAAGAAGGTCGTGTCTTCATGTCTTCCTTCTATCCATTACTATCCTTATATTCAAACTTTCATTTTACAAGAACCCCAGGAATATCAGCTATAATTTATGTGTGTCCTTAATAATTCTGTCTTTACAAAACCTCATTTATAAACACAATCACATTCACAGTTACTGGGGTAAGGATTTCAACACTTTTTTGAATGATACAATTCAACTCATAACGATATCTTAAAGAAGAAGCTATATTATTTTACATAACATTGGAGATTAGAAGAAAAACATATAAAGGGATTTTTCCTGTGTACATTTCAAAATATTTGAGTACCTAGTAATAACATATATATATATATATATATATATATATATATATATATAATTTAACAAATATATATGTATTATTTACAAAGAAAACTATCAAAAAAAAAAGAAAAGAATTGTAGATTACTCTATTTGTTGTTTCTTCTATTATTTTAAAAATATGAAAATCCTACATTTGATAGTTGTTACCTCTTGGAAGAGAAATTTGCGCTGTAAAAAATGTAGAAAGATTTCATCTTTTGTTTGTTTTTCCCTTTCACTTTAAAAAATACTTCTTTAGTTTTTTAATTTAAAAATTCTTTTAAAAGCTCCCCCTGCAAATCTTCATAGAAGTGTAAAGCAGAGGTAGGATGTGTCCTGAGAGTTACTAGCTTCCCACAAAGTGAGCTAGTCTTGAAGTCCGCAAGCTCCAAATCAAGATTGTTGGAGAACTCAGAGCTCAAGATTTTAGCTTTGCACCATAACCAGAAAGTTATGATTTGAGTTTAATCGCCCTGTAACTCAAGCACGTCACACACTCTTTCTCTCTGTCTCAGATTAGAGATTAAAGGACCCAGGAATGTGGGACTAAACTTTCACTGTGCAAGTAAGTCTCTATTTGTCAAGTCTCACACTTCAGGTTTTCTAGCTTGTGCTCTGCCTCCTGTTCTCTCTCTGAGAGGTAAAGGCCTAAGCAAACATGCTTCTCTGCCCCTGCCAGCCACACGGATGCGGGCTCCACACTGAGCATCCAGCTGTGTTAAGATGAAGATTTCTGGCAAAGATACTGTCAACTTATGCAGCCAGATTGGCTTTGTATTTAATAACAATATGGTGTCTGTAAATATGCACATACACAGATACATATACATATATGCACTCAAGGAAGCTTTTTTAAACTCCAGAATTTATCATTTAAAGCTAACATGAATTTTAAGCATATATCTTTCATAATAACACAAAAACACAGAAAGCTTTCTAAACAATCTACACAGTTAAGGAAAGTTGATTTTAAAAAAAGCTGATAAAAATATGCATGGATCATGTTGCCAAGAAGTGCAAAAATTTTAAACAAAACCAAATAGCAGTAACTTTAGTCGTAAGTGAAGAGTCCATATTTGCCTGAGACAAAAATATAAAGTCATTTTCATGTTTAACTCGGGTCTGCTTTCAAATTCCAATTTAAGCACAAATGGTGGCATAAACATGCAGTCTTTGAAGGCAGCTCTTACCAGAGAGGCACTTAGCATGCAAATCTACAACATAAATTTAGTTTACAAATGGCATTGCACAAAGATTGCTGCTACATCTCATCCTCTAGTCACAATAGATGTGAAAAAGATAACTAGTTAGTGAAATAACTATAATTCAAGCAGAAAACTGACATCAAGTCCCATAAGCTTCACCGCATAGCTTTACTTTTTGACAGTACAGAGATCTTTACACAGATATATCTTTTGGCTCAGTGACAGTTTTACTAGAATAAAGGATGGACAAGAATTAAAGTGCCTTAGGGTAGTTAAATATGAGCAGACATAGTTAAGAATTCTTTCTCCTCTCCTGTTCCCTAATTCCTGGCAAATGTCAAACCTATTGTACACATGGAGAATGAGTCTATTGTGTAATATTTTAGGATAGAGTATAAGTAATCCTCGCTTAGTCTTTCTAAAATGAGGAGCTAGATTGTCATGTAGTATTCCAGGAATGATCAATCTTCTCATTTGTAGGATTTTCTGAGTTGTGCTTTTTGGTATCATCTTTCATTGAATAGATTATATATATATAGTAAAGAAAAAATGAAACCAGACATTGATCCAGCCTTCTATTCACAGGCAACACTTTGTGTGTTAAATCATACAAGATCAGCACTTAAATCAGCATTGGAAACTCACTGGGAAGATGGTCATTTCTGAATCAGCAAGACGTGATTAGTGACAAGAAGTTATCTGAGAACTACAAGAACTCTTTTTTTTGCTTTTGTAAGATATTATGCATATAAACGGAATGACCAGAGAGTCTGTTTTTGTTTGTTAATTGATAGTACGATACAGAAAAACATCCTAAAATTAGAAATAAAATTTCTTTATGTATCTGTTAATATTTTTATTCTTAATTTGTATTGATATACATATTCCTATTATTTTAGTGTTGAAAATACAATAAGCGAATATTGAAAGTTTCTTTAAAAGTTGGCTGCATGGTCAGCTTATCCAAGTGCTCATTTTATATTTAAGAAATGAAACAGTCTCATATAGTGAAGGTTAGAAAATTATTATTTAATCAAGTAGTAATATATAGTATTGTAAATGATAGAATGGACACTCTTTCAGTGATACTTGTCCCTAGGAAGTATTTAGATGTGACTTTGGATAGAAATTCTTTAATTTTTTAAACTATCACAAAATACTTGTTCTTTAATTTTATAAACTATCACAAGTTGCACATTCTTTAAATGAAGTCTGATAGAAAGCCTTGACATTATGAAATTATTTGTTCAGGTGAAAAGTCATAATTTCAGCTGAAACACAGTTTACGCCATAAAAAGTGAAAACTTTTCAATTTATAGGACTTGGAATTTTTATGATTCTACATATATAAATGTCTTTTGCTATTTTTAGTATGAAAGTATTAAACCATTCCACTAATATGAGAAATAACATGACTGTGCAAGTAATTTCACATGGCTTTCTAAACCTACAAGGAATACAAGATGTAGACATCTTCAAAAGAATCTTAAAAAGAAAGCACCTCAGTAGAGATGTTTAAACTACATAAGTTAAATATAGTGGGTACATGTAATGGATCTCAGAGTGAGTTGGATTAAGGTAGCAGCTGCGATTTTAAAATAGTTTATTAAACATTACACTTAAGTTTTCTTTTGGCAGTGAGAATTCCATTCACTAGCCGTACTGTGTTTGTAAGTATAAATAAAAGATACTACCGAAGGTGTGCTACCAAGTTATTTTGAAGTAAAACACAATGTACTTGAAATTGATTTCTAATGTCATAACCAAACATAGTGCCATTAAAAGAGAGATGGGGATGAAAGGAAGGTAAAATGTATTTGAAATAAAAGAGTTAAAGAAGAAAATTAAAAGACACAGGTTCTGAAAACCAGGAAAAGAGCTGGTGGGAGCAGAGAGGGAGTGGAGGGGACGGAGACAGAGAAAGAATGAGAGGTGGCATTTATGTGTACAAGCTCCTCATGATAACTGGGATCATTATCTGCTGGACACAAGTGCTAATAAAAATAAAATCTATTTTAAAAGTTGAAAATACAGGAGAAATGCAAGCAAGGAGAATGAATGCTGAAATCCTCGCCAGTGAGATTTTTATTTTGCCTTGAAGCTGAGTGTTCACCCAGGAAGTTAATTTCCTCATGGACTCTGGTGTTTTGCTCCTTGTGAACTTGGGCTGTCAACTGTGATTGGTTCAGTGGAAGCACTGCTCAGAATTAGCACGCCTCACTAGGCTCACAGAGCTTGGAACACATGCAAGAGAGCACCTTGCCTTTGCAACCAAGGGCCTTTTAACATACTTCTATCAAGTATTAGTCTTTATACAGCACATTCCATTCTTTCTCCATGATGCCCCTTTTCTTCCATATTCTATACCCAAATAATTTTATGCATGTCCCTTTTCTTCCAAACTGTATTCATATGAAAAAGCAAGATGAAGAGCATGAAGTACCTTGATGGTGACCTACTCACACAGCCTAGATGAGTCCTGGATTCAACTTCCAGCACGGAAAAGGAAGAAGGAAGAGAACACTGAATAGAAGGAAGGAAAGAAAAAAGAAAGAAAGAAAGAAAGAAAGAAAGAAAGAAAGAAAGAAAGAAAGAAAGAAAAAGAGAAGAAAAGTCAGATGAAAAAGTCTATCTTATGTATGAAAACACAGTTAATAATTTTATCAGCAAGTTTATGATGTTAGCAAAATAAAGGCTTAAAAAATGTCACTCTTCCTAGGCTCATTTCTTGCTATTCTACTCCCAAGTCCCAAAAAGTACTTTCCCATTTGCCCTGTGGCTGCAGGGCTATGTTTAGATATCAGTATTTTTTATGAGCTGCGCCTGAGACCACCCACTCCTGAACACAGCCCTCTGCACATGCCCCACAGCACGCCCTTCCAGGGTAATCTTTTCCCAAATGAGAAGGAAAAGGGAGAGCAGAATGAAGAGGAGGAAAAAGTCAGATGAAGAAGGAGGGAGAAGTTGTTGGGGGAGGAAAAGGAGAAGGAAGGGAGTACAGCAAGAAGAGGGTGAAGAGGGAAGGAGTGGAGCAGGAAGAGGGAGACGAGAAGAGTTAACATGTGCTGTGATTAGATCCCCCAAAAGGGCTGTGAAATTCCCTCAAGACTGAGGATATTTCCAGTTTCACAGCTGACCTTGCAGAAGCTTTGTTTATAGCGTTCTTTCTCATAAATAAAAAATAACCTGATTCTAACAATATGCATTGCCTCTTTGTTCAGCTTCTTCCTTCATCTGTCTCAGAGAGACCTAAACACCTTTTTTAAAACTTATGAAATTTTCAAGAAGGCACAGAACATCTGTACACCAAACTGCCAAATGGATAGTACAGCTAAAAGAAGTGAAAGTGGGTCGGGGCAGAGCACCTGGCCCCACTGCGTTCAGACTTCATGCCCTCCTCAGGCCAGCTTTTGGGTGCCAGGGTATCCCTTGCTTCCTGGAATGTGACTGAGTGTTTTATGTTGCTTCAGCTTTGCTGAAGAGTTTGAAAAACGCTAGTGATAGGTCTTTAAATTTTTTGTAGAAGTCAGCAGTGCATCTGTCAGGCCCTGGGCTTCTTTTTGTTGGTAGGTTAATTACAAATTTGATTTTATTGATTGGTATTGGTTTACTTAGGATTTTTATATCTTCTTGATTCAGCTTTGGGAATTCATATATATCTAAGAATCTTCCCATTTCTTCTATCCATTTCCATCCTATTAAAAGACAAGATCTTAAAGTAGTTTAGATGATCCTCTGGTTTGCTGCAGGATTTGTTGAGATTTCCCCTTTTTATTCCTAAATGTGTGAATCTGAGTCTTTTCTTTCTTTTTTTAAATAAACCTGGCTCAGGATCTGTTGATGATATTTAATCTTTCAAAGAACCAATCAATTCATTCATTAATTCATTGATTCTTTGTATTATTTTCTTAGTCTTCATTGCATTAATTTCTGCTCTGATCTTTTTAATTTCCTTCTTTACATCATTGGACATGGCCTCACTTTCTTTTTCTAGAGGCTTGAGGTTCAACCTCAAGTTGTGTGTTTGAGTTCATTCTTTTTTCCTGATACAAGTATTCATTGCTATAAATTTCCCTCATAGGACTGCTTTTTCAGATCTCATAAGTTGCTGTGTATTATAGTGGTATTATTATTTAATTATAGAAACTGTGTAATTTCTTCTTTAATTTAATTTGTGACCCACTGGTTATTCAGGAGGGGTTTATTTAATTATCATCAAGATATATAATCATAAATGTATATGTACCAAATACCAGTGCACCCAACTACACGAAACAAATATTAAAAGACATGAAAAATCAAAAAAGCACTAATACAATTTTATTAGGGGATTTTAATGCCCCACTGTAACAAATGAAAAGATCAACTACACAAAAAACCAACAACAAAATATTACAATTGAACTTCTGAATAAATGGAGTTAGTAAGTGTCTACCGAATGTCTCACCCCACAACATTAGAACACACATTCTCAGCTGCACATGGGATGCTCTCCAAAGCACCACATACTGGTTCATAGAGCAGGATTAAATAAATGAAAAGGAACTGAAATTGTCCCATGCATATTACCAGACCATCATGCAGTGCAATGTGCAAGAGGTGGCAAAAGGAACCACAACAACTTCATAAACACACGGCTGGGCTTTTAATCATTGTCTTTCCAGCAGCTTTCTGCTGCTGGAAACAGTTGATCAGAGACCCTTTTTCAATTTATGTACCAGAAAAGTCACATTTTTTTGTCATTATGTGGCTATGTTTTGCTGTTTTTAAGTCGCTTTTGTCTTTTGTTTTAAAACATTCTTGTTATAAATCTGTTTGTCAACAAGAAAGCTTCTTTTATGATCTGTTCAAAGTGAGTGTCTTTCTTTTCAGATGTCTGGAGTCCTAAAATCTATCAGACTAGATAGAGGAAATCTATTCATTTCCATGAGGCACAAATAAAAGTAAAGCATTCATCCAAGGTTTTAGGTTTATTCTACGACTAAACTAAAATCCTTCATCTTAAAGCTTTATGATTTCACAGTAATGCTTGAGGAGTCATAGAAAATCCTCATTTTTATAAACTGGCAAAGTCTACTTCTTTGTCAGCTGGGTATAACCAGCGAGTTAATAATTCTAGGGGAAACTCCCAGCGACTTACAGCTCCGCCTCCTAGATAAGGCACTACTACTTTGATATGCAGCTAAAAGTAATTGCAGCAGTAACTTTAAATTCCCCCTCCATGCGTCTCAGTACTGTGGGAGAAGAATGCAGCATAAATCTCAAAGGTGGAAGGAACACATGGCCAGCGGAGATTTTATTCACAGTGGCAAGGCAGTCACATATGTGCCCACAAGAAATCAAATCTAAATCTTGAACTAGAATCTTTGATTTGGTTGCACTGAACTAAATCAAATGAGGAATTCCTCTTCCTGGGACTATTGCTAGTGTAGTGAGCCTAGCAGAGCAGGTAAGCAAACAAAATGTTGCCTTTAATGAACACATATTTACAGTTATTCATAGACATGTTTTCCATGATTTAAAGATGAGAAAACCACATCCATCAGTGCTTTCAAGTATGGCTCTTGTTTGGTGGTTGACTGGCCACTGATCATGTAGTACCTGGGCTCCACCCAATTCATTTTCCTCTAGCTCACTTCAAAATATCCATTTCAAGGGCATCCGAAATATTTGACAAAATTACACATTAGTCCATGTAATGCCAACTTCCCATCTATCATATCAATCTCTGTATGTGGGAATGTTTAACTTTTCCTAATGTTTGTACTCTTGGCACAGCATTACAGAACTATTATAATTATTTTTATA